ATCAGCTCATCTCATCTAATCTCATCTAATCTCATCTAATCTTATCTCATCTTATTTCATATCAGCTCATTTTATCTTATCTCACCTCATCTTATCTCATTTCATCTCATCCCATCTTATCTCATTTTATCTCATCTCCTCTTAACTCATCTTACGTCATCTCATCTAAGCTTATTTCATCTCATCTCATCTCATCTCATCTCATCTCATCATCTTCATTCAAAGGAATACTTGCTTTGAAGGGATTATTGAATTCGCCCTATTGGATACCGGAGAGGATTTTTTGAGGCATAGGTTGTCGGAATATTATTATTATTAAATCATCATCTGCTTTGTTACCCAGATCCATGCGAACTGTGCTTCGGTCTTCGATGAGGCCAATTCTTAAATCACTTTCACCCAATTTCTCCATCAAACTGAAAATTGATGTCAAGCCAGATAATGATGTGATTCTTGTGATGGAGACAAGGATGACCTTGCCTCGTTAGTCAGACAAGGTAGATAAAAGCGATTTAAGGATCTATAAAGAAGTTTATCCGCAATCATATCAATAGGCCTCAGAAGACCGTTGCAAGTAACACTTTTATTATAAGTAGGTTTCGGATCTATCACTACGTTTTGAGTAGTAACTTAGTCAGCCTAGGGTGTTTAGGGTGATTTAATGAACGAAAATTGAGTTTTCCCACAATTGAATTTCATCAAGGCTTGCCTCTAAACAAGGCTTACTTCATCCAGACTGGAGTGGAGATTTTACATGGTTCAGATTTCATCAACACCCAGTGGGATTCGACACCGGGTCGGGAGTAGAGTGGTCGTGTCACCACTCAACTACATGGCCACGGAGGCCAGTTGACCACGTGGCAGGCGTAATATTCATGTCAGGAGTGTCGATTAAGCAAACATGCAATTTCACTCGACGACGCTACTTATTGTTAATTGAAGTGAGTTTTGAGACTATTAATAATACGTGAACAATAAATGACACTCCTGAAGCCTACTTATAACAAAAATAAGTAGCATCGTCGATTGAACTGGCAAATATATGCTTGCTTAATTGAAAATCCCAATAAAATATGGCTCTTTTAGGGGCCTGATATGCACACTTATGCCCAGACAACTGTGGCTACATAGTGGAGTGGTAACGCCTGTAGGATACTCACGATTCGGTATTGAATACCGGACAGGGTTTAGACTGCAATCCATCCTTGGTAAGTTAAACATTTTGAGGGGCAAAGCTAAGGGAAATTAAACGATATTGTGAGACCTACTGTCGTGAATCTGGAAAAATTCATATATCAGTCTTAGGCCTTGGCTAGCTAAGTTCCTATTCACGAGGTTCCCCATGCCTTGTCTTCGCAAAAGTGATTATGAGGCTGACTGAATAGACTACTTTTGATAAATATTTTGATTCAATAGTCTTGAGTTGACCTTCATTTTTAGGGAAAATATGCCCTAAAAGCATTTATAGGTCGATTTTACTGCAATATTTTGGTGAGGTTGACCTAAGGATCAGTTTGCCACACTATAGCAGGCACAATGAAACAAATGTCGGCTCAACACTAAAAATCTGATGTCACAAGCATCGATGGGACTCTTAATTTGACAAAATCTAATTTACTCTCAGCAATCATTTCATTAAAAAGAAATGAGCTAAGATGAATGCTGTTCTTGCACAATTGATGACGCAAGAATGAAAACTCTCATCTACTTCCGCTGAGCTAAA